AAGGCAGATGTCAACCACTGAGCCACCCAGGTGGCCCAGGGAGAGGTTTTTAAAATTCAATCCATGTTAAATTAAATCCACATTGTCTCTTAAGATTTGTTTCCAAAAAGACATAGCTTCAATTTTTCATTTTTCAAATGCAGAGAAAATATCTTAGATATCATTTGGTTCATATTGAAATGTATCCTCTCCCTTCTAGGAGTCTTTTCGAAGTTATGACTTGTAGGTTTTAAAGGCTTCTCGGACACAGCAGAACTTTATACAATTTTCAACAAAGATAAGGATGGATGGTGATTTCCTCCTGAAAGGCAGGGTGTCCTGTCCTCTCTGGGAAAGCTCCGGTGGACTGTAACTCTTTCCCCACCCTGTCTAGGTGCCACTTATTTGTTATTGTAAACTTAAAGGTGGAGAAACCTCCCTGAAGCTCTTTTATCTCCTCACATTGGGGAATCAGCTCTATGTGGTTAGAGACCAAGCCACCCAAAAAATAGTACCTGGGATTTCACAAGAGCTTCTTATGCAGGTAAGAAACCTGCATAATACTTTTTAAATTATTTTTATTTGACCTGTGCTGTTCCTAGCAACCCTGTGTAGATTCAAAGTTTTTCAACTACATCTGTTCCACTTAACGAGGTTCTAGGGACAGCAGGGGCCACAACCCAAGCTCATACGTGAGCTGTCCTTTGCCTGTAATGCCAACCATGGTGTTACGAAAAGTGAGAGCATGCAGAGTGATTTTGTTGCTATACGGAGATTTGCTCCTGCAACAGGAACGCAAAATCTCTGAGAAAGGAACTTGAAGCGTGTCTCTCTGTATCAGGTTATGAGAAACTATTTCTAGGAGGACAATAGTTAAAGCCAAGAGAAAAGCAGGATTAAAGCTGCATATGCTGTGTGTGCTATGAAAACTTTCTGCTTGCTTGATTGACCTGAAAAAATGTCTCAAGTCATTTTGACCAAAGTATTGAGCTTCTAGTAGGACTTGCTGATACTGGATTTAGCCAGTACCTATGTTAAAAGAGAAACAAAATCCCGTAGCTAATCTTACTCAGTAAATTCTGTTTTTGTGTAAGATAGGATAAATACTCTTGAAAAGTTTCAGCTTCTGAAGTGAACTTGTTGAAAAAGCAATGTCAAGCCAATGAGAATAGGAAAGCAGGCCCCCGACACCCTAAAAACCATCCCTAAGACACTCTTGGTCTCCCAAAATGAGAAGTAGCATTTAATACCCCTGCTCCATGAGAAGTCAGTGATGGTTCTTTGGTTTTCACTTGTGAGTATTCCCTAACTTTTACAATTTATGATACTTATGTCTTCTTTTGTTATTTTTGGCAATTTATATTCTGCTGGAGGTATTTATTACTTTTATATTTTAAAATTTATTGTCTAGGTGGCATTTTTAATATTTTCTATGGCAATGGTTATATTAATTTCTTATTTTCAGTGATATATATATATATACATATATATATCTTTATTTCTTTTTCCCTCACCTAAATTAGAATTGCTAAAGGTTTATGAATGCTCTTCATATTTTATGAGGTCAAATTTCACATTTTTATTCTTGTACTGCTTTTTTCTTCTATTTCATTAATTTTAGCTTTAATAATTTCATTCCCCTATTTTCTTTTGACTTATTTTATTGTTCTTCCAAGTTAAGTTTAATACTTAGGTCTATCATTTTCATTCTTTCTATTTTAAATATTCAAAGCAACTCTGTAAAATATTACCCCGATACAATTTTATTGTTATAGCATTTAGGTTTCTGACATTGAATAGTCTCTTTTTTTGTGGTTAATTCCTTTATACTTTAAAATGGCAGAGTTCTTTTCTCACTTTAGCACAGGGATCACTTATAAATGTTTCTCTTAATTTTTAGTTTTTACTTTTATATATTAGAAAACTATGGCTTAATTATCAATATTTATTGTAAAATATATCAGTAAAAATATTAACTGGTATGTATGTGTGTATTTATATATAATATTACTTAATCTTCACTTTAGGTAAGACCTATAAAGGAAATTTTTAAAAGATTCTACATTTTCATTAGAAATAAAGCAATGCTCACCAGCAACACTTTCTCATAGCTGAACTAGAATACATTTTGATTAATAATATTAAAGGGAATGGCTGGTTTGGATATAGCCTCACACAGTAAAACCAAAAAAGTCATCTTTTTTCTTACAACCACAATTTTCCTTGCCTACTGTTTATGCCCAGCTTTAGAAACTTGTTTCTTTTCAGAAATTGTAAAACAAGGAGGAAAAGGGATAGGATAGAACAATCGAGGCTTGTATAGTAATAGTTCCTAAAAACAGTCAAATAGCTACAATTAAAAAATTAAAAATCCAACAAAACAACAAATCTGAGACAGTGTGGAAGAGAGACAAGAAAGGAGATTGGACTGTTGCCCTAGGGGAGATACTTCACGATGGATTTCATATTGTCCCCACATTGTTATGTGGATCTGCACCCCCCCCAGGCCCCGCCTTCCTCCTCCACCTTCTCTTCAGGTCATTTATCAGTAGAACCATATGCCATGATTGTTACCTTCTCCATTTTCATTACTGTAACCAGCTAAAAGTATCTATATCTGTTCACCAAGATTTTACATTCTCTGACCTAACTTTCATTAGTGGGCTATTTTTGCCACCAGCTTAAATGAAGGCAATATTGCCAAATTATCACAATTAACACTCTGCATTGGTATTTAAAAATTGTCTTCATATGTATGACAATTTATCACATGAAATATGTTAATGGGTATTTTATAATTTCCATGGAAGTTAGAAGAGCACTGGTTTTAGAATGACCAACACAAAATAGAAAAAAAAATAATTTGCTGATAGTAAAACTTGCTTAAGGGAGGAAAAGTTAATTGCTTTCCCTTAAGGTTTTTAGAAAAGTGATACATTTTAATTTTTCTAGGATATTTTATGTAGAGTCAAGCCTACAGGCAGAGAAATCGATAGAGACTTTCTAGATCCATAATTTTAGGAGATTAATTTTTTTGTATTAGAAATACCACTTTTTTAGAGTTGAAGTCTGTCTCCACATTATTACAATACAATCAGTTTCATAGGGTTGTTCTGAAGATTAAGTGACATTGACCTTGCTACATGCCTAGCACAATAATTGTCACGTGATACACACTCAAGTAAATGTTGTCATTGCCCCTACTGTTTAAAAAAAATAGACTCAAGTGCAATTCAGATTATAAACTTCATATAGACATTGGAATTTTTTAAAATGCTTTTTACCCTGCCAACATATTACATCACCTTAAAGTTAAAAATGTTCAGTCAAATTTTTGCTCAAGTGAGGAGATGATAATAGTAGTTGAACTCTGGTGTTTTGTTTTGTTTTGTTTTGTCGATTGAATTCTTTCAATGTTCCTTCATGGAATTTTCTAATTTTACTTTCTATGCTAATGACAACCACAGAGAATCATTTTCTAATTCAGCCCTAGAAGAAATTCAATGACAGCGGAGAAATTGAGGAAGAATTTCTTTTTGCTATAGAAAATTATAAAAATTCAAAACTAGGAAAATCATTTTTCAATACATTTCAATTCATTTGCTATATATATGAAGTAAGGCACACAGTACTGTAATCACTCATCAAATGTCATGTAGCATATTCTAAAAACTGAGTAAAGAGTTCATATAGTTCAGATCTCTACTTCTCAATCCAAAATCATATCTACTACTATGCATTAAGTACAGAAAATGTATTATTAGCCAGATTCTTAACAGGATAAAAGATGGATTCTTTTTTTTCTCTAGTGTATTCTGTGCCAGAGTCATAAAATGCGCCTTGAGCAAATCCATGCGTATCATACACTCATCCAAAAACATACATATGTAGCCAATTGTTTTCATATGATTATAGTCACATCAAACATGCACTATGCACACATTTGGACTACATATTCAAAACTGTTAAGATAATACGCAACAATCTGTGATATTCATTAATAAACTGAATGTTTTGCTTAACAATGTCCCAAAGCATAGTTTTGCTAAAAGGCTAGTTGGCGCTGACAGTCTAGAAGGTCATTTCCCTTCAGTATAAATATACAAAATATCCAATTTCCTGGGTTTTGGTACTAGCAAGTTTGCTAGAATCCACATCCAGGAATAACGCAGCATTATTTCAATTCTATTCAAGTAATACATCATTTTACGTTGGATAGTAAGCCAGAAACATCACAATCAGGTTATCCAGCTGAAAAATAAGCATGTACCATTAGACTTTGATTTTTACTACTCACTACATTCATTAGGATCAGAAGTAGCAATTCAAGCCTTCTGGGAAGAAGCAAACAGATCATAAAAATTTTACTAGCATAACAAATTCTGTTTAATTAAATGAAATGAGAAAGTATATATGCATGTATTAGTTTGGTAAATTATATCTTAATACAGCAGAATCTTTCCATACGTATACGTTTTTCAGTGAAAGCTTTTCCTCATAAATGTATTATTTAATGGAAAATAACCCCATGTGGTAAAAGGACTGTCCAGTTGTAATCGTCAGATCTCGTTTAAGTAATGAATTGTCTCCACCCAACCAGTTCTATCTCTTGTGCTGACTGAAGTGCTGTGACTTGTATAAGTGATCATTTCAATAGACTTATTCTTTTCTATACAGTGGAACCTGTATGAAAAGGAAGTGCTTTTAAATAACTCTAGTGGAATCAGCTGGGCATCAATTCTTATTGCTCTTGTCCAAATAGTGAAAGAAGAAAATAATACAAGGTGATAGTTCTCAAATTACCATAAATTGTCTGGATTGCCCAGGGTAGTTGAGACTTGATAGATAGAAAAGGTGTGGAAATTTGAGAGAAGATACAGGCTTGCCAAGTAAAATAAGTAAGACACACCCAGTAAGATAGAAGAAAGACGGAGCCCAATAGGATAGTGATAAGAAGGTTGATTCACTTCAAAGAGCAACATCTCAAATAACCTCAGTCCTGATTTATGCCTCTTTTTCAGTTTATTCAATGTCTGCTCCATTTCACGCATTAAAGTATCCTTGCTTGCATCACGAGGTGTGTGGGTGCCCTGTTGAATGGAATAGTCCCCCTGAGCCACCCACCAAATACGTGAGGTAAGAAAATAGAAATAAAATGACTTGGTCAAAGCAATGTCAGGCGAGGAAACAGGAAATCATACAGAAGCATGGGCTAAGTAAGAGTAGATGCTTCTGAATCCTTCTATTACTAGAGAGCAGGTTTTGTACCTGCAATATTTTGTACATTTTCCTCTCCAGTTATTTTGGGTTTGGTTAAAATATGTGTGTTGAATGAGTAGGCACATCCAAGGGAAAGAATCTAGGCAATACTATACCTATCCTGTCAAAGACAAAAAAAGAAAGGCAGTCATCGCTGCAAAAGAAAATAATTCTGCCTCGAGAGACTGTGTATGTGCGTGTGTGTGTGTGTGTATTGCTGTCAAGGAGGATATTGGATATAAGGCAAAAATTACTATCTTGCACACTGAATAGTGTCATATCTCAGAACGGAACACTTCATGCAGCAGTGGTGATGTCTGGGCGTGCCTGGGTACCCCCCCTCCCCCCGGGGCCCAGCACCTGACTCCTGGTGGCCGCTCAGGTCCTGATCGCAGGCTCCTGGGGTGGCTGGAGCCCAGCTTCTTGCCCTGGGCTCAGTACAGAGGGAGCTCAAGCTTCTCTCTCCTTCTCCCTCAGCTCCTCCCCCTCGCGGGTATGGGTTCTCTCCTCTCTCTCTCTCAAGCAAATAAATAAATCTTTAACAAAAAAAAAAGTCATGGTCTCTGTATTTAATAAAAGCTCTCAGAACAGGTTATGATAAGTAGAGAAGGAACTATGACTACCTGAGTTTAAATTTGTCTCCTGGTCATGGAATAATAAAGTAGCCACAGCAAATACTTAAATATTGAATGTTAATTTTATTTTAATTTTTTAAAGATTTTATTTTATTTATTTTTTATTCATGAGAGACACACACAGAGAGAGAGAGAGAGAGAAGCAGAAACACAGGCAGAGGGAGAAGCAGGCTCCATGCAGGGAGCCGGACATGGGACTCGATTCCAGGTCTCCAGGATCACACCCTGGGCTGAAGGCGGCGCTAAACCACTGACCCACCGGGGCTGCCCAAATGTTGATTTTAGAATGCTCTTAACAAAGTGCCCTGTTGGATCACATGCAAAAATGTGGGATTGCAAGACCATTTTTTAATCCTCAGGCTTGTTTCCCCAGGAAACAAACAAACAAACAAAAAACCAAACATTTGTGGCAGAGAGAGTTTAGGAACTTCTCTGATTGAAGTTGTGATATGAAGACTGATTGTAAAAGCAAAATAAATGAAGCAATAAGGTTTACTTTGCCAGGTAGCATAATAATTCATAAGGCGGGATATGTAATCCATAAGCAATGGATATGTCTTTTCCAGCTGATAAATCCTATATGTGAAAAATATATGGATATTATATACCTACTTTGAAATTTATTATGTTAATCAAACACTTTGCAGGAATGATCAAAATTTTATGCTATACATTCTTATTTTATTTTTCTTGGACCTAAAACAATCACTATAATTGTTTACTTTTATTTATGTTCAGTTTATCTTGACAAATACACAAATGTATTGCATTCTAGGGAATCATGCGTGAATTGTCCCCTCTTAAAAGTAGCCTGCTATTACTGTTAGATAAAAATAAGGAAACTTTTTATTTTTGTTTCATTAAATTGTGTTGTATGCCATACACAGGGTACTGATGCAGTGTAGTTTGAAAGGTGAACAGATGGGATTTTATTTTTAGCTCACATTAGCACACCCCATCAAACACTCATTTGCCTGGTATACGGCAGCATAATATAGCTTTACAACGTTAAAGCATAGCTTTGCCAGGCACGTAGAATTCAAATAATAAAAGAAAAATGTGGAATAAATATTCAATTATAACTGATGATCACTGAGTTGCTAGAGCTATTTATTGTAAACAAGTGGTAAAAGAAAAACTTCATTTATATTGCTGGAATATATCCAGCTGTAAGCAATGTATAAGTAGCAAGAGCTTTTTTTTTTTTTTTCGTTTTCATTTAGAATTACTTTTTTCAAACAGAATTTCCAATGGAGAAGGAAGAAAAAAATTAAGGGTACATTGAAGCCTGTTGAAGCAAATTAAAGAAACAGTTTTGTCAAGATTATGATGTTCACTGTGCTTTGAGATATCACTTCTGAGGTAGAAAAAAAATTCGAGATATTAAAGCAGATGGCTTTGGTCAATAAAATCAGTTATCTTTTTTGTCTACAAAAAGGGTATGCATTTTTTATACTTAATACTATCCTAAAATTTTAAATGATACTTAAATGCACAGTTTTCTTATGTCAACTTTTCAAGGAAGTTAATTTTACTCCTAAGGACCTTATTATCGGACCAATTTTTCATTTGGGTGTCAGGAATATAGAAGTATGATTAATTTTCAAATATCACCTTGATGTTTCAGAAAACCTGTGAAACCCATTTCATTCTAGTCCATATATTCTCAATGGGGGCAATATTGTCCCTAACAAGTAAAAAAATGGGTTATTGGTGAGGAAATTTAAAATTTTTACTTTTTCTGTATAAAGCCAGATACATGGATAATATATTAAATAGATATATTTGTAGCATTAAAATGTTATGGGGGAAAAATGTTATGGGGGCAATCAGGAAAAAAATGTCCAAAAATGCTACTTATAGAGCTGATAATCAAAAAATAAAAAAGGTTAAAAAATGCTGCTCTGGCCTTCCTTTCTTTCCTCTCCTCTCTCTTGAAATTGAGGTACATTTTATATGTAAAACAGTTAATTGACCTCAACCATGGAGTTAAATGCTTTTGGCAAATGCACACACCAGAGATCAAGAAACAAAATGTTTTCATTGTGCCTAACAACTCCTATCAGCCACTTTCCAGGGGCATATGTTTCCATTTTTATATTTGTTTTATTTCTATAGGTTAATTTTTCCTCTTGGATTTTATATAAATAGAATCATACAATATCTAATCTTTTGTTACTTTTTTTTTTCCTCTGTGGTTTTCTGTGAAAATTGCATGTTACCAGTAGGACGTTGGTTATCGTTTCTTTTGCTAATAAACTTTCAAGTTTTTCCCCAGTCTCTGGCTGACTAGTAAGGCTGCTACGAGCATCTCAGATGAGGCTTTTTGCAGAAATATGTTTCATAGAAATGTGTTTCTCTTGGGATATGCCAGGGCGGGTCTGAGATTGCTGGGTTGTAGGGTAACTGTATGTTTAACTTTTATAAGAAACTGTTGAGAGGTTTTCTAATAGGATGGGGCCCCTGGGTGGCTCAGCGGTGAGCGTCTGCCTTCAGCTCAGGTCATGACCCCAGAGTCCTGGGATCGAGTCCTGCATCGGGCTACCTGCAGGGAGCCTCCTTCTCCCTCTGCCTCTCTCTCTCCCTCTCTCATAAATAAATAAATCTATTTTTTAAAAGAGGTTTTCTAAAATGATTGTAAATTTTAACATTCCCACCAACTTACGAAAGTTCAGGTGCTTCACATTCTTGACAGCACTTGATGTTGCCACTTCTTAAGTTTTATACATTTTACTGCGTATCTCGTTGTGGCCCAGCCAACAGATCCTATCTTAAACTTTTGATATAAAGTATTCATCACGGATTGTTTTGTGTGGGTTTTGATTTGCTTTCAAGTTGCATTAAAATGTCATTTTTCTTCATCACTATGTTTTTGTAGCTCCCTTAAATTTCGTTCTGGAGGAGTGCCTTACCATGGCCTAGGCCCGCCTCTTTCATCTGCATTTTTCTGATGAGAATGAAAAACTCTCCATGTGCTTACCCCTAATCCTTGAGGCTTTGTCTGAATGCCAGGAGTCCTTTTCTTAACCTCCACGGACTGATGGTGGTGTAACACATTCTCAATAATGCCCAAAAGTCAGGTATTTTCTGCTTGATCGTATTCCCCATTGTTTAGGTGGGAAGTCTAAGAGGATTTCCCCCCAGTCTGATGATGCCTCCAACATGAAGTTAGCCCATTCATGTATTGCTCCTGGCATTTCTTCTGCTTTCTCTCTTTCAGTCCTCCCAAGGGAGGAAGAGACCCTGATTCTAATGGTTAGTTTAGAAGGAAAGAAAAAACAAAGAGGAAGAGCAAAACACCCTGTCCATGTTGATTCCAGCCCCTTCCTTGTGGGGTAAGGACAACTTTGCCAGAAGTCTTAAGGCAGGTGCCCCATGGGACAGGCGATACGCTGTCATCAGTGACTGTGTGGATAAGTGTGCCTAAATCATGGGTGTAATACAAAGAAGCTCAACTGTACATAAGTAAAAATGCCAACCTACGGGAGGAGGAGATATGTTTGACTTCCTCTGCTGACATAGTTGTTTTATTTTTCCAATTGGTTTTGAAGCAAAGTGGAAAAGAAGAGGAGCGTGCGCGTGAGTGTGTGTGCATTACAGAACAATAATAACAAAAACTAGGAAGGTGAGAAATGAGTGTGAAATGTTTAATTTCAGAGGAAAAAAAAACTCAAAATACTATAAAGATTTAAGACAATAAGTCATAAACCTTATCTAAGTTATACAGTGCTTCATGTTTATATTAAAAAATAGTTCTATTTAATCATTAATAATTCTATTAATAGTTCTATCCTTAACCAGGAAGTTTTATTTTTTAATTTTTTAAAGACTTATTTATTTATTTATGATAGAGAGAACAAGAGAGAGAGGCAGAGACACAGGAGGAGGGAGAAGCAGGCTCCATTCGGGAGCCCGAGGTGGGACTCGATCCTGGGATTCCAGGATCATGCCCTGGGCCAAAGGCAGGAGCGAAACCACGGAGCCACCCAGGGATCCCTATCAGGAAGTTTTAAATAGAAACATAGTAAATGTATCAAATATATAAAAATCTGGAAAAAAGTGATTTCAGCAGGAAAAAAAAACATCAGAAATATCAGACAAATGCAGTATATTATATTTTTATCTCTCCTTGTGAGGCGTATGCTTCCAATATAAAAAAAAATGCCAACTTCTAGCAGTCAGGTAAATGGCACACAACTGTTTCTTTTTTCTTCCATGTTTCACATGGTTGATCAGGAAATA